TGTTGGTCATTTACTGCTGAAAAATTGTTTTTTTTTTTGCTAATTAAATATCGAGTAGAAACAACTAACAATAATTCGTACCTACCTAAATAAAATATACAAAAAAAGTATTTTAGTTCCATTTTATTAACTTAACGTATACTTCATTTTAAGGAAACATAATAACTAAAAGACCTTTGTAAAGATCTACAATAATAAGGGTTTTTTGTTATAAAAGCCCGCAGTACTTTTAAAAGTATCAAAAACTTTTGTTTAATTAAATGTGTCATTTTCGATAATAACATGAAACAATTTGTTAATATAATTACGTAAAACATATAGTCACAAATATTTTTGTATACCAAACCATGATGACATCACTGATTACAAAGATAAAGAAAGATTTACTCACTCTGTTCCCTAAAGTCAACCATCGTGACGAAAAAGAAATGGTGTCACGAAGTCAATTTTTAAACCAATAATTACGACTTCCGGGAACAGATAAAATAGGTCTTTCAGTTTCGTCTTAAATGTCAAATATTTATTTGGCGGGCTATTTGAATTCGAAAAACGTGATTTTAAAATTGAACCTTTTTACAGGACTTGGGCCTGCATGAAGAAGTAGCCATAACTGATGCTGGGTCTGAACACACAAATTATATATTGCCTTAAAAAGGACTTTGGGCCTTAGGAGGCTACTATGTTTTATTCAAAGTCAAAGTGCAATACTTTTATTCAAAATTGACTGTTCTATCGTTCCAACAAGTCCTGACTATGAAATATAAAACTGGTATATCATAAATTACTTTCAATAAGTTTTTATTCAATATAGATTAAAATAAATGTATACTTGGGGAGTGCTTTTAGCCGGGATGGAAGATGTGATTTAGATGTGGACAGGCGTGTCGCTGCCGGGAACAAAGTCAATGGTGCCCTGACTGCGTTAGTCAAAAGGCAAGGCGTAGCGAAGAGTGCACGCCTTGCAATACATAACGCAGTGTTGGTACCGACTTTGTTATATGGCAGCGAAACCTGGGTATGCCAGAAGAAGCATAAAAGTAAGTTGAATGCAGTGGAGATGCGATCTCTTCGTAAAATGTGCGGCGTTACCATGGCCGACCGAAAGCGAAACGAAGAGATTCGCAATATGGCAGGTTTGAAAGATGACCTTATCACAAAAATTGATAAGGGCGTGCTTCGGTGGTTTGGGCACGTTGAGCGAATGAGTGAAGACCGAATGGTGAAGAAAATATATAGCGCGAAAGTTAATATTAAAAGGTGTCGAGGTAGACCGAGACTAACTTTCGAAGACCATGTGAGCAAATTGCTCGAAGAGGGTAGGGTCAAAAGTACTCGGATACCTAGACGTGCATGCATGAAGAAGATAATGAATCTGAAAGAAGCGAAAGAGGTTTGTAAGGATCGTGACACTTGGCGATCTGTTCTCTCTGGCTACCCCGTCAGGGATTGTGCGTGAAGATAAGCAAAAGATTAAAATAAAAGATAGTTGTATGTAGGTCTATGGGCTACAACATTCAATTACCGTCAGGTGGACTGTGCAATCGTTTGTTACCCTTATACTATAAATAAAAACTCTTTCCTTTATAACTCGTAATCACCTCTCACAGGTGTGACCAAAGTATACGCTTGATTCAAAAAGCTACAAATTAAATGTGAAAATAAGGCCATGCTTTGTGGCAATCTTGTGAATTCTTTGTTTAGCTGTACACTGTCATACAGTATATAGCAAAAATGCGTCAAGAAAATTATGAATCATTTATTTTAGGAATTGAAAATAATGTCACTTGAAAATAACAAGAAAAAAAAAACTTATATTGCAGAAACAGATATTTACGCAATAAATGAAATGTATTAATGTAATAACTACATAAATAAATAATTTAACGACACCTAGAAGATGAAATAAGGCGACGTATGCCTTTCACGCCACTAAAACAGCGTACTTTTACACAAATATAAAAATAAATTTACAAATAAACAAGACAATAGCAATGAAATGTAAATTTATTTGCCCCTCGTTATTCAAGTAAATGTTAAAGAGCACTTTAGAAAATTGAAAATTACGGCCGCTTATAGAGGGAGAATTTCAACAACCTCTCTTAAAGCCCTAGAAATTATTACATAGATAAGAATAGGCACAGTTAACCAAACGCCTAGGAATTATAACCAAATTATATTTGAATACGTATAAAAATTCAGTCTTTTTCTTTGGTTATGGATATGCACGATTATACTATTTGACAGTGTTAAGTAATAAAATATTATCATTTTTAATACTTTAATTCAAAAACTTCCCGATGTTTCACATTGTGAAGTCCTGAGAGATTTTGACGTGGGCTAAACCCAACGGATAGTCGATGACAACAATATGCAGCAAAGCAACAGTATTCCTTCTTGGCGAAAAAGAGAAAATGGTGATAATAAAAACTACATATTTTGTATTTTTTTATAAAGCTAGTTATTAAGGATTATTTGTAGAACAACCATTAGCATCCATCCCTACGACTACGTCATATTATCAGAGTAAAACCGCCGCAGTCATGAGTCCGCTTTTTTAGAGAAAAAAGGTGACAAATGAGCACACATTTCATCTGACGGTAGGCTGTGTTATAAACACATCTACATCTATCCATTATTAATAAAAAAAGCAGATGCGCTTGTCACCTCTGAAGAAAAAGATGGAAAGTCATCATAATCATGACAGCCCTTCACAAGTCCACTGCTGAACATTGGCCTCCCCCAAGGAATGCCACAAAGCACAGTCCTGAGCCACCTGCATCCATCGACTTCCTGCATGTCTTACCAGGTCGTCACTCCATCTAGTAGGGGGTCACCCTATACTTCACCTACTGGTACGAGGCTGCCACTCAAGAACCTTTCTTCCTCATCGGTTGTCGGTTCTTCGAGCTATATGGCCCGCCCGCTGCCACTTCAGCTTACTAATCCGTTGGGCTATGTCGGTTACTCTAATTCTACCGCGGATATCCTCATTTCTAGGTTTATCACGCAGATAAACCACGAGCATAGTCATCTCCATAGCTCGCTGAGTGACCTTGAGATTCCTCTTACGGCCAGCAGTGAAGGACCACGTCTCAGATCCGAAAGTCATCACTGGCAACATGCACTGGTTGTACAATTTCGTTTTCAAGTTTTGCAAAGTGGCAGATTATACTCCTCTGCCTTCTGTACAATTTGCAAAAGGGTGTGAATGTAGTCCATGGTACTAAAGCCTTTACGGAAACCGGCTTGTTCGGGAGGCTGGAAGTCGTCAAATCTGCGTGCGAGACGATTCGTAATGACTCTCGAAAACAATACGTAGACACGGCTCAGAAGAGAAATTGGTCTGTAGTTCTTCAAGAGAGCGTTGTCGCTTTTCTTGAAGAACAAGACCACGGCACTTTTGCTTCACGCATCCGGAGTAGTGCCACCATGCAAGACGGAATTGAAGAGCTTCTGAAGGACTTCAAGTACCGGTTTTCCTCCCGCTTTCAAAAGCTCCGCTGTAATTCCATCCTCACCTGGGGCCCTGCCGTTTTCAAGGTTCTGGAGAGCCATTCTAATCTCGCTCAGACTGACGTCCGGGATATCTTCGGAATATTGTCGGATAAGACTAGCTGTTGGATCGTTACTCACACTTGCGTGTGGCTCCAACGATGACGTGTAAAGGTGTCCCGGAAACGATGCTGCCACATTCGGTCTTCAGCTTTGACAGTTGGCTCTTTCTGGCAGACAGATCTCTGGCAAAGAGAGAACATGGTTGCTGCTCCCGCCGCATGCATATGGAGATCTGTCTGTTCAGTTGCCTGTATGCTGTCAAATCTGTTGAAGAATCTAGTTTCGTCTCCCGTCTAAAAGCCATGAGATTAAGAGTGTGATCGGAGAGTTTTTGTGTTCTTCTGCGGCGGGTCTTGATAAACTTAGCTCCGACCGCATGGACAGTTTCCAAGAGCTTGTCATTCATACCGTCCACTGCATTTCAATCTACTAGGCAGTTAAAACTGTTTTGTAGCTCGAGATGAAAGGTTTCGGGACTTTGGATTAGAGCACGAGGGGTACGGAGCGTTGACTTTATTAGACGAGACCTCTCCAACTTAAAGTTTAGTATAGGTTGGAACAAGTATGTTCGTGACGCTCACAGGAACGCTAGGCAAAAGTATCTAACCTGGGTATGTGATGGTCGGCCTAGTAGTGGTACCATTTTTAATGAAATGTATGATTCGAGAAAAATTTTCAAAAGCAAATTAAAGTATTGTCAGAATAATCAGGAGCAAATAAAAATGAATATTTTAGCTTCAAAACACAGGAATAAAGATTTTAGGGGATTTTGGCAACAAACAAAACAACTAAGTCCAAAGCCTAGCGTCCCTGTGAGTGTTAACGGCATCAGTGAACCACGGGATATAGCGAACATGTTCAGATGTCACTTTCAAGTGGAGTCTCCGCTAAAAAGTACGCAGGTAGTGGATGAGGAGGTCGAGGTGTCGGAGGTGCCGGACCGCGTCACAGCTAAGCAAGTTGCTCTAATGATAAAAGGAATGACGCGAGGGAAGTCTCCTGGACACGACGGCCTTAGCATTGAACATTTTCACAATGCGGGGCCACACCTACCGAGACTCTTAGGGCTGCTGTTCACGCTATGCATTAGGCATTCCTATCTGCCAAATGAGCTAATGAAGACGGTGATAGTGCCTATTATAAAAAATAAAACTGGTGATACTTCCGACAAGTGCAACTACCGTCCGATATCATTAGCTACAACGACATCTAAGGTGCTTGATGGCCTGCTTGAGAGACAACTTAAAGAGCATCTCCACCTACATGACGCTCAGTTCGGCTTCAGACCAAGACTTTCGACTGAATGCGCAATTATGTCTCTCAAACAGACTGTTAGGTACTACACGGATAGGAACACGCCTGTGTATGCAGCCTTTCTTGATCTCACTAAGGCATTTGACCTGGTTAGATATGATATTCTTTGGCGTAAATTAAAAGACACAGGTATGCCGGGTGGGTTGATCAATATTTTTAAATATTGGTATGAACACCAAACTAACCGGGTTAGATGGCTCGGTGAGCTTTCTGACGAGTACAGGTTGGAGTGTGGAGTGAGACAGGGAGGGCTAACTTCTCCTTCTCTCTTCAACTTGTATGTGAATAGGTTGATTGTTGAGCTGAGCGACACAAGGGTCGGCTGCTCGATTGATGGTCACTGCATCAACAGTATCAGTTATGCAGATGACATGGTATTGCTAAGCCCATCAATCGCAGGTCTCAGAAAACTAATAGGTGTATGTGAGAGGTACGCTTTGTCACACGGACTCCTGTACAATGTTAAAAAGAGCGAGCTCTTGATCTTTCAAGCTAGGCGTCGTAAGCTGGGAGATGTGCCACGTGTGCTGCTAAATGGCGTCGCTCTAGGCAGGGTAAATGCGTTTAAATATCTTGGCCATGTGGTTACCGAGGATTTAAAAGACGATGCTGACATCGAAAGGGAAAGGAGGGCGATGGCGGTCCGCTGTAATATGCTGGCACGCAGATTCGCGCGGTGTAGCTTTGGAGTAAAGATAACTCTCTTTAAAGCCTTTTGCCAAACTCTATACACTTGCAATCTGTGGGTCAACTACACGCAGCGGGCCATCAACGCTCTCCGAATACAATATAATAACGCATTCAGGGTGCTGGTGGCGCTCCCGCGCTGCTGTAGTGCGTCTGCGATGTTTGCCCACGCGCACACGGACGGCTTCCACGCCGTGCTGCGACGTCGCATCGCCTCACTGATGCTCCGTACGCGGGGGAGCGCCAACACCATCCTGAACGTGCTCAGCGATAAGCCTGACAGCCCCCTTCTGTGGCACTGGTTACAAATGCATGTGCCCGGTGCCCCAGAGGGTGGCAGATACATGAATTAAACTATAGATTAATTTTATTCAAGTAATTAATATATTAAAGAATCGAATTAAGTTATATTGAATTGATTTAAATTGAATTAAATTTTATTTTTATTTTTGATTTTATTGTAATTTAATTTTGGGTATAGATTTGATCTTAGTTTTGATTTAATTTAATTAAATTTATTTAATGTTCTCAATTACTAACCAAATATAAGTCATACTAACTACTTATGGATCTTTGATATCTGAAATAAAGAATTATTAATATTATTATTATTAGTTCCAATGTGCCTCTAACCATTCGGTGATTGCCACCAGTTTTCACTCTCGCGATCACGGAGATATCACTGAACAGTTGTCGTTTGGTCGTCATAATGAAGTCATCTCATTTTTTGTCGAACCGTCAGGACTCGACCAGGTCCACTTCCTGTGGGGCCGCTTCTGGAAGAAAGAGTTCATCATAAAGAGTCCCTCTTTCTCCATGAAGTCGGCCAGCTGCTGGCCCCTTGGGTTCCGTTGCCCTATTCCGAATTTTCCTACTTTCAGCTCACCGTTCTCTCTTGTGCCTAGTTTTGTATTGAAGTCTCCCAATAACACTGTACAGTGAGTGTTCGAGGAATGCATGGCTCTAGAGATATTCTCATATATTTCCTCCACCTCCTCATCGGAATGTGCCGAGGTTGGTGCGTAAACCTGTACGACCTTCAGCGAATACTGTTTGGTGATTCTGAGTATAAGGTACGCAACCCTCGTCAACACACTCTCAATCTTTACAACGTTGTTAACGAGAGTGTTACGGACGACGAAGTGACCCACCGCTCCGTCGCCCCTTCATACTCCGTTGCACCCCGCGCACCCTGCACACCGCCAGCAGATCACGCGATGTCGCCGACTAATCAGCGCGTGGCATCGCCTCACGACGCTATTTACATACTAAGACGCTCTCTTGCGGGATATAAGAAGGGCGTTTTGGTCTGTGAGGTGTTCATTTCGGAAGCGGCACTCGAAGACAACAGCAAGAAAAGAAGCATCAAGAGAAATCAAGAGATACTCCATTGAAGATTGAAGAATGAAGACTGTCTCTCTGTATATAGTTAATTAGTGCCGCATTTGTAAATATTTAAATATAGTATAGTCTACAGTACCATCTCTCCTTTAAGCAGTCCCTAGCGTAGTAATTAGTCAGTCAACCAGTCTTGCAACAATTAAATTCATACAGCCCACTACAGACACTAATATTCTTGGTCCATCGCCGCCGGATGGAAGCCAGAAGAAAGATGGTAATTACAGAAAAAAGAAGATAATCATAGAAGAAAGAAAATCATTACAGAAGATCTTCAAGGAAGAAAGAAGCTCGTCGACGAAGAAAGAAGATCGTGGCTACTAATTTCTTCCCCGTTTATTATTACGTCTACGTCATATACGTCCATTGTATGTTTCCAGACAATTTCTTGTTTCTTAAACGCGTTTACGCGGGCAGGTGGTTGCTCCCTAACGTTACCAAACTGTGACTATCTGGTAATGCCCTTGCGGCGGGAACGGCGTCCAATACGTGCGTCTTTTTGAAGACGATCGGAAGCCGCAACGTGGGACGTCATGAGGAAGACAAGAAGCTAAAAGACACGGAACGACGACGAAACGCCGGTAGGAATGCGGATGTTCGAGGAAGCACCCGCGTCCCCGTGCGATTATCTCGCATTGGCACAAGCGCCCTTCGTCGCGCCCCAGCCCCCGCCCGCGCCCGCATGTCCGTGTCCACAACCGAGCGCTTGGGAGAGGTTAACACATCCACGCCGCGTACAGACACGCTCGTCGCGATTATAGAAGATCTTCTGGTAACAGAGACTAGTTCGATAGTGCGTACCGTCGCGCCTGTAGCAGACGTTGTACATAAGCCCGCGCCCCGCGCCCTGTCGGTCCGTTTAGTCCGTTCAGCCCAGTCGACAGCTAGCGCGATAGCAAAGATAAAAAAATCGAGTATAATACCGCGGAGGAACTAGCTGCAATTAGAAGGGAGCAATTGCAAATCGAAGAAGATCTTATCAAGAAGAAATACGCTAGGGACGTCGCTCAACTGCAAGAGGAAACGGATAGGGAAAGTTAAAACGACGACGATATAATGGAAAATAGGGTACGCGTTGATAGCTTGTTAGAGAACGTGGAGACTGTGTGGGGGGGAGCCGCCCTACCACCCGTCTCAGCCCGCGCCCCGCATCGAGATAGAGCAGGCCCCGCCGAGTAGGGGAGCCGGTTACGACCGTGCTGAAGATGCCCAGGGGACGTCTGTTGCGAATGATGTTTAACCACGTCGCGTAGATACGATACAGAGGGACAATGGAGTCGCCGTTGAAATGAACCAGGTGGATCGCCGTGTTTTTTTTTTTTTTTTTTTATAAGAGAGGGGGCAAACGAGCATGCGGCTTACCTGATGGTAAGTGACTACCGCCGCTCATGAACAACCGCAACACCAGGGGAATTGCAGATGCGTTGCCGGCCTTTTAAAAAGGAGTACGCTCTTTTCTTGAAGGTCCCTAAGTCGTATCGGTCCGGAAAAATCGCTGGTGGTAAACTATTCCACAAGAAAGTTGTGCGAGGAAGAAAACATCTTCTAAATCGCACAGTGGTGGACCGCCAATCATCCAGATGGTGTGGATGGTATCGGGAGTTCTGCCGCGATTTGCGTTCGTGAAATTTGGCGGCTGGGATTAATCCGAACAATTCCTCAGAGCACTCCCCATGGTAAATGCGAAAGAAAATGCTAAGAGATGCAACATCTCTTCGCAGTGCCAATGAGTCGAGCCGATCGGAAAGGACTTGGTCGTCGACGATTCGAGCCGCTCTGCGCTGGATGCGGTCAAGTGGAAGAAGCTGGCACTGGGGAGCCCCAGCCCAGAGATGGGAACAGTATTCCATGTGAGGCCGAACCTGCGCCTTGTAAAGTTGCAGGCGTTGAGCCGGCATGAAATACTGTCCCGCTCTGCTGAGCACGCCAAGCTTTTTAGAGGCCAATTTGGCCTTCGCTTCCAAGTGACCACGAAACTGCACGCTACTCGATATGTCGACGCCGAGGATTCCGATACTGGCTGAGGCAACAAGGGGAGTACCTTGAAACTGAGGAGATACGACAAAGGGGTTCTTTTTAGCGGTAAACGCGCAAACTTGTGTCTTCTGAGGATTAAACTGGACTAGATTTAGTCGCCCCCAATCCGAGACTTTGTCCAGCAAAGACTCGACTTCAGACACAAGTTTGTTCCGGTACTAGGTGACGTTTTCCCGAGAAATATTGGCACGGCCGGTGTATAGAGCATCACCAGTGCTGTCATCTGCATAGCAATGAATGCTACCAGCTTGCAACATATCATTGATATGCAGAAGAAACAGCGTTGGTGATAGCACGCAGCCTTGTGGAACACCAGCGTTAATAGGCTTGTAGTCGGAGCATGCACCGTCTACAACGACCTTGATGCTCCGATCTGCAAGAAAGCTGGTGATCCAATTGCATACGGGTTACGTCACCGTCGCGCGTCCAACACCGCACTCTATCGCCTATACATAGATCGCCACATCGCCACGCGGATCGTAGATTACCGTCGCCGTGTTACAAGGATGTAGGTGTACATAGGTCGCCAGCGCCACAACGTAGGCTAGAGGGGAATAGGTATAGAGATAAGTCGCTCACCCCGCGAGGGAAAGATAGGAGTATAGAACGATTAGCGGAAGCCTTAGAAGGCATGATAAGGCTTAAACCAGCCGCCGCGAAGCAGACACAGGAGTTGCCTATTTTTATCGGCTCGGCCGCGGACTGGTTATCGTTTAAAGCCGCGATGAGGGAGTCCACGCTTCTGTATGGATTCACCAATACGGAAAATATGGCAAAGTTTAGAAACTGTTTTCGTGGTGAGGCTAGGGAGGTAGTATTGGCGCTGTTGTTTACCGCGAAGGATCCAGCAGACATTATGCGGACACTGGAGCAGTGTTTTGGCCGCCCAGAAGTGATTATTGATCGTGCGGTAGATGACTTGAAACGCCTTCCACGTCCGGGTTAAACCGCCCAGGAGGACACCGGTAGTGCCTCGTGTATGTGTTGTGGGGGTGAACACCCTATCGCCAAATGTAGGAAGCTGGCGCAAATGGGGTTGGACGACCGATGGAAGTGGGTAAGGAAAGATGGAGTGAGCTTAAGGTTAAGCAGCAAACACCGACGTCTACGTTGTAAAACTAGGAAGTGCGGCGACGACGCCTGAAAGGCCCCCCACCACGCCCTCCTTCACGCCCGCAAGGTCCGCACGCCTGAAGCGTCGGTAAAACCGGATGAGACCGTGCTCGTCGCGTCGAATGTTAATAGTAGTGCGTCCGTGTTATTGAAAGTGTGCCCCATTACCGTGCGCGGACCGCGCGGCAAGGAAGTTGATACGTATGCGCTACTTCACGAAGGCTCTACCATATCGTTAATCAACGACAACTTAGCGCGCTAGTTAGGAGCGGAAGGACCGGTAAAGCCGCTCAATATTAGAGGCGGAAATAATAGTCAACGCGAGGCCAATAGTAGGTTAGTTAATATAGGGATACGTGGCAAGACGCGCAGTGAGATGTATAATGTAAGCGCGCGACCAATAGCAGATTAAAAGATAGGCTCGCAGTCTGTGAGTAGGGAGGGCTTACGGTCGAAGCACTTACGCGACTTACCGAGTTCGGTATGTTACGACGACGCGAAGCCGACATTATTATTAGGCGCCGACAACTGGAATTACTCGTCAATAATCAACCGTAATTTTGGAATAGGACGTCGAAGACAGCCCATAGCTGCACGTACGTTACTAGGGTTAATTCAGGGAACCGTGCCGCGGTTAACGTGTAGGGGAGACGGCGAGATCGTATTACATGTAGCAAGCACTAGCGGACGGCCAGATAGGGATATCCGAACGTTTGCCAGTCAGGACGGCAGTATGAGATAGACTCTATAGGTATCTAGCTAAAGAGAAGGCCGCGACGGGAAGAGGAGCGCGCTGTCGACATAT